CCGTACTGCTAAATTTTAGAACCAAACAATAGCAAAAACACTAGATACAAAAGATACATGGGAGTTTAGAAATAACACTCGACGTTTAAGTTTACGTGGATTATTTTATGGATTAATTTATATTTCTGTTATAATTGGTGGATTTAGTATTCTATAGGTACAAATTGATAATTAAGTGTCAACAAAGCAAAAGTGATCAATGAGTAAGAAATAAGTTGCAATTAGGAAAATCAAATCAAATTAGAAAAGAGGATCCCTCAACATCTTCTGTAGTGTCCACGAAGTCGAGCATAACTTTCTCATCCGGACTCCAAATCAACTGGTTCCGGCGGCATTAGAAAGCTTTTTTAGCGAGCTACAATTCCTGTCTAATGTCAAATTTCCAAATTCAGACTCGAACATAGTCAAAATTGGATTCCAAAAGAGATCATGAAAATACGTGCTACAGTACGAGGACACGAATGCGAATCAATAAACGTGCACAAAAACACTCGCTACAAAATATACGCACATAAGTAATAGTACAAAAGCACGCACAAAAGTACTTACGCAAAAGTGCATTCGCAAAAAGGATCGTGAAAACACAAACTATAATCCTAGGACATTAATACATATACACAAACATGCACAAACACACTCGCTCAAATGGACATGCACAAATGTACATGTAAAAAAACATGCGCAAAAGTGCATTCGCAACAACCTTCTTAAAAACACGAAATACAACACTAGGACTTTAATACGAATAACCAAACAATAGCAAAAACACTAGATACAAAAGATACATGGGAGTTTAGAAATAACACTCGACGTTTAAGTTTACGTGGATTATTTTATGGATTAATTTATATTTATGTTATAATTGGTGGATTTAGTATTCTATAGGTACAAATTTATAATTAAGTGTCAACAAAGCAAAAGTGATCAAAGAGTAAGAAAAGAGTTGCAATTAGGAAAATTAAATCAAATTAGAAGAGAGGATCCCTCAACATCTTCTGTAATGTCCACGAAGTCGAGCATAACTTTCTCATCCGGACTCCAAATCAACTGGTTCTGGCGGCATTAGAAAGCTATTTTAGCGAGCTACAATTCCTGTCTAATGTCAAATTTCCAAATTCGGACTCGAACGTAGTCAAAATCTGATTCCAAAAGAGATCATGAAAATACGTGCTACAGTACGAGGACACGAATGCGAATCAATAAACGTGCACAAAAACACTCGCGACAAAACATACGCACATAAGTAATAGTACAAAAGCACGCACAAAAGTACTCACGCAAAAGTGCATTCGCAAAAAGGATCGTGAAAACACAAATTACAATCCTAGGACATTAATACATATACACAAACATGCACAAACACACTCGCTCAAATGGACATGCATAAATGTACATGTAAAAAAACATGCGCAAAAGTGCATTCGCAACAACCTTCTTAAAAACACGATATACAACACTAGGACTTTAATACGAATAACCAAACAATAGCAAAAACACTAGATACAAAAGATACAGTGGAGTTTAGAAATAACACTCGACGTTTAAGTTTACGTGGATTATTTTATGGATTAATTTATATTTCTGTTATAATTGGTGGATTTAGTATTCAATAGTTACAAATTGATAATTAAGTGTCAACAATGCAAAAGTGATCAAAGAGTAAGAAAAGAGTTGCAATTAGGAAAATCAAATCAAATTAGAAGAGAGGATCCCTCAACATCTTCTGTAGTGTCCACGAAGTCGAGCATAACTTTCTCATCCGGACTCCAAATGAACTGGTTCCGGCGGCATTAGAAAGCTATTTTAGCGAGCTAAAATTCCTGTCTAATGTCAAATTTCCAAATTCGGACTCGAACATAGTCAAAATTGGATTCCAAAAGAGATCATGAAAATACGTGCTACAGTACGAGGACACGAATGCGAATCAATAAACGTGCACAAAAACACTCGCTACAAAATATACGCACATAAGTAATAGTACAAAAGCACGCACAAAAGTACTCACGCAAAAGTGCATTCGCAAAAAGGATCGTGAAAACACAAACTACAATCCTAGGACATTAATACATATACACAAACATGCACAAACACACTCGCTCAAATGGATATGCACAAATGTACATGTAAAAAAACATGCGCAAAAGTGCATTCGCAACAACCTTCTTAAAAACACGAAATACAACACTAGGACTTTAATACGCATAACCAAACAATAACAAAAACACTAGATACAAAAGATACAGTGGAGTTTAGAAATAACACTCAACGTTTAAGTTTACGTGGATTATTTTATGGATTAATTTATATTTCTGTTATAATTGGTGGATTTAGTATTCTATAGGTACAAATTGATAATTAAATGTCAACAAAGCAAAAATGATCAAAGAGTAAGAAAAGAGTTGCAATTAGGAAAATAATATCAAATTAGAAGAGAGGATCCCTCAACATCTTCGGTAGTGTCCACGAACTCGAGCATAACTTTCTCATCCGGACTCCAAATCAACTGGTGCCGGCGGAATTAGAAAGCTATTTTAGCTAGCTACAATTCCTGTCTAATGTCAAATCTCCAAATTCGGACTCGAACATAGTCAAAATTGGATTCCAAAAGCGATCATGAAAATACGTGCTACACTACGAGGACACGAATGCGCATCAATAAACGTGCACAAAAACACTCGCTACAAAATATACGCACATAAGTAATAGTACTAAAGCACGCACAAAAGTACTCACGCAAAAGTGCATTCGCAAAAAGGATCATGAAAACACAAACTACAATCATAGGACATTAATACATATACACAAACATGCACAAACACACTCGCTCAAATGGATATGCACAAATGTACATGTAAAAAAACATGCGCAAAAGTGCATTCGCAACAACCTTCTTAAAAACACGAAATACAACACTAGGACTTTAATACGCATAACCAAACAATAGCAAAACACTAGATACAAAAGATACAGTGGAGTTTAGAAATAACACTCGACGTTTAAGTTTACGTGGATTAATTTATGGATTATTTTATATTTTTGTTATAATTGGTGGATTTAGTATTCTATAGGTACAAATTCATAATTAAGTGTCAACAAAGCAAAAATGATCAAAGAGAAGAAAAGAGTTGCAATTAAGAAAATAAAATCAAATTAGAAGAGAGGATCCCTAAACATCTTCGGTAGTGTCCACGAAGTCGAGCATAACTTTCTCATCCGGACTCCAAATCAACTGGTTCTGGCGGCATTAGAAAGATATTTTAGCGAGCTACAATTCCTGTCTAATGTCAAATTTCCAAATTCGGACTCGAACGTAGTCAAAATTGGATTCCAAAAGAGATCATGAAAATACGTGCTACAGTACGAGGACACGAATGCGAATCAATAAACGTGCACAAAAACACTCGCGACAAAACATACGCACATAAGTAATAGTACAAAAGCACGCACAAAAGTACTCACGCAAAAGTCACTACAAGAAATTTTGGTTTTAGTGACGATTTTGTATGGTCGCTAAAAGTTAGAAAATGGTAGCTAAAACTTATAGCGACCAAATTAAGGTTGGTCACCGGTGGTCACAACAGGGTAGTTACTAAAAGTACTCAGTGACAAGAAAATTAATTGGACGCTAAAAGATGAGATTTAGTGGCGAACTAATAGTGGTCACTAAAAATATAATTATTAACGACCAGTTTTTTGACTCGCTAATGTAAATTTTATGGTGGCAATAATATTAACATGGTTGCTATAGCAACATATATAGTGGCCATATAATTTTGGTCGCTAAATGATATATACGTATAGTGACCATATTTTATTGTTGCTATAGGATATATATTTGGCCACCACATTTTTTGGTTGCTACATAATATACATATAGTGACGGTATATATTGGTTGATAAATAATATATCTGTTGGTTGCTAAAATATATACATAGAGTGACCATATTATTGATTGCAATAGTTTTTACACGATTGCGGCAATTATTAAATCTACCGACCAATTCAGACCAATAATTAATTGGTTGCATTAATCATTAATGTTTATTTGCAACAGTGGCTGTAAAAAAAATTAAAATAAAACTAAAACTTGCAAATTTACACATTATCAATCAAATATGAATATTACATTTCAATCTATCATACTACATACAATAATAAATCAATCATTTCAAATAATAAGAAAGATTACTATAATTATTTCATAATAAATTCCACTTCATAAATTGTTAAGCGACAACAAATATGACTTCCACGATAACGTTCTTTCACTTCATCAAACAGTCCAACCCAACCTGAAAAGGGGAAAAAAATCAATTAGAAAATAAGAAATCATATGATAGAATCAATTCCAATCATTTGTCACTTAGTAGCACTCAAAAGTCAATAATTTATCTGCGCTCAAAATTTAAAAAATAATAGTGAAGAAATAGAGATTCTCACCTGAAGTCCAATGCAAGTGCTATAAAAACACCTTACTTTGGAGTCATACTCAAGTCTTTAATGAGAGCATAAATATACTCAACACCTATCAAATATTAGTATTAAACAAGTTATCGAATGTTAACATAATCGTTTACTATTCGGTTCTATTTCATATAAACATCCTAATTTAAATCTTATGCCATAACTGACAATCGAACATAATACACAATTTCTATGGCGTTCCATTTACCAAATACAACACACTCCAGGCATCAATTCACATGGTACGGAGTTCACTCGTGTTTGTTTGACGAGTTCTCGAAACAAAGGTTTAAAACATTTGTTTCCACAATTTCTTTGAAAAATCATAACAATTGGTACGATTATCCAAATTGGGAACGTAATATGCCAAATGAAAGCTAACAACTGCATCTACATGTTCACTGAAGACTCTGATCACAAATTATGATCCCAGCATATGCAAAACAGGCCCAAAAGATGATTACAGAAAACTGCCAGAATTTCGGATAAATTCTCTTTTCTGGTACAGTTTATTGTAAAATTCATAAGTATTTGCAAAGTTATCCAAATTGGCCAAACAATATACCAAATCAAAGCTGACAACTTCATCTAAAAGTTTACTTAAGAAATATATCCCAAATTATTATCCTAAGACGGTAATAAAACCCAACGAAGATGATTCATCAAAACTGCCCTGTTTTTGGCAGACTCACTGCCGTCAAATTCTCATCTCTAAAAGGCTATAAAACTTGCTCAAATTAGAAGCAATTTAACACTTACATATAATTATCACGGTCCTCGACGACTTTTGTGAAGAGACTGATTCGAAAATCTCACTCCAAACCCTTCAATTTCGGCTCCGAAAACAGGTGCGGCAGAAGGTTTACTATTTCTCAGAATTTCGCCAACATAGCTGTCGGGTTAAATTTGGTTATATAAATTGAAGAAATAACTAACAAAGTCTTTCTCAAATAACAAAGTCTTCTCACCTCGAGTTAGCACCAAAAGCAACATCATAGACCAAAATTTTCTTAGGTACACAACCACGAATGACACACCTGAAATAAGAATCCATTAGTTTCTTAAGCTTCACCTTCGATCACATTACTTTAAACTTCTTGCTTAATATGCATAAAACAAATTTCAAATAACTAATGACTCAAATAACTAATGACACAGATAGATGCTAACTATGGACATTAAACTAGAAACCAACGTTATTTGTTGTCACATTTTCTTCCAAAAATCGTAGCAGGCCGTACACTTATCCAAATTGGGAAAACAATATACCAAATAAAAGTTCACAACTTTATCTACAATTGTGATGAAGATACCAACTCCCAATTACTAAGATAACACATCAATAACAGCACGAAAAGTTGAATACAGAAAACTGCCAGAAATTTTTTGGACAAACTTGTAACTGTCACAGTTTATTTGAAAAATCATAACAATTTGTAGAGTTATCCAAATCGACCAAATAATATACCAAATCAAACCTCACAAGTCAATATACAAAACATCAGAAGACACATAGCCTAAATTATAACTCCAACATAACAAAAATAGCTCCGTATGATGATTAGGCAAAACTGCCCTGTTTTTTGACAGATTCGCTGTCGTCTTATTCCGACCCCTAAAAGGCTATAACACGTGCTCGAATTGGAAACAATTATACACTGACTCACAGTTTTCGAGGTCCTCTACGAGTTTCGAGAAGGAATGATTCCCAAATTCACACTCCAAACCCTTCGATTTTGGCTCCGAAAACAGATGCGGTAGCAATTTTTATTTCCCTTTCCGGCGAGCAGGCTGAATTTCACACCAAATTTCGGCGTGCAAATTTTTGTTCATTTTTTAAGATAATAAGCCATGATATAAGTAGTGTTTTGCCCAATAGAACTTTTGACAAACACCTGGCGTGCACAATTACATCATAAGAAGAAAAGAAAAAAGGAAAAGGGAAAAGGGAGGTGGGAATTGGGTTGGAGTTCGGAGAAGAGGGTTTGTTGTTAGTCATACCGTAACCTCCGCGATCGTTGAGCTTAGCCTGAATGATCATGGTTGAGATGAAGCGGGTGGCCTCATTCGCCTCCTCGAGATGGCGGCTGAGATTGGCAGGGGAGGTCATGTGACGGTTCTCCTCGAATTTCTTCTGGGCTTCGGTGGCGGACTCCCGGAGCATAATGGTGTCGCCGGCAAAAGTCTGTATGCCCTGATTGCTTCGATCCCCATTCTCCCTCAGCACCACGTTGTTAGCAATTTTCTTGTAATCAAATCCCTAATTCTTTTCAAATCCCTAATTCTTTTCCTGTAATCAAATCGTCAAATTGGGTGAAATAGGCGAATACTTTTGGGGAAAACAAAAGAGGTAAGATAAGAGGGATTTTGGTGCAAACATAATGAAGAAATTAAGAGATAATTTTTTCTTGATTTTCTGTAATATTATGAGAGAATTGGTAGAGAGAGAAAGAGAGCGGAGAGAGTGAACAGAATGTTTTGTGATGAAGAAACGAAAGAAAGATATGGCTGTATTTTTTCATTATTTGCATTTTCGCCCCCCATCTTTCTTTTATTTTTTTTTCTTTTCTTGATTTCTTTAAAAACTAAACTAGTGACCAAATCGATTTGATTTCCGTAAGTAGTTTCATAGTAACAAAATTCAGGTGGTTGCTAGCAACCCAATTAAATGGTTGTTAATAATTAAATTAAAGACTCGTAGCAACCGTAAAAAAAATTGATGTTAAATTGGTCACTATTGAAACTAAGTTATAGTAACCATAAAAATTGTCGCTACAAACTTTAACTTTAGTTGCTACAAGATGTCTAACTATTAGTGACCACTTATAGCTACCAAATGTTCGCTGGTCGCAACAAGATTTAACCCTTCCCACTTTTGCTACAAAATTATTTTTGGTCACTAAATGTAAACATTCAGTGACCATTTAGTGATGGTCGCTGAGAATTTGGTCACTGAAACTAGTTTTTCTTGTAGTGAGTGCATTCGCAAAAAGGATCGTGAAAACACAAATTACAATCCTAGGACATTAATACATATGCACAAACATGCACAAACACACTCGCTCAAATGGACATGCACAAATGTACATGTAAAAAAACATGCGCAAAAGTGCATTCGCAACAACCTTCTTAAAAACACGATATACAACACTAGGACTTTAATACGAATAACCAAACAATAGCAAAAACACTAGATACAAAAGATACAGTGGAGTTTAGAAATAACACTCGACGTTTAAGTTTACGTGGATTATTTTATCGATTAATTTATATTTCTGTTATAATTGGTGGATTTAGTATTCAATAGTTACAAATTGATAATTAAGTGTCAACAAAGCAAAAGTGATCAAAGAGTAAGAAAAGAGTTGCAATTAGGAAAATCAAATCAAATTAGAAGAGAGGATCCCTCAACATCTTCTGTAGTGTCCACGAAGTCGAGCATAACTTTCTCATCCGGACTCCAAATCAACTGGTTCCGGCGGCATTAGAAAGCTATTTTAGCGAGCTACAATTCCTGTCTAATGTCAAATTTCCAAATTCGGACTCGAACATAGTCAAAATTGGATTCCAAAAGAGATCATGAAAATACGTGCTACAGTACGAGGACACGAATGCGAATCAATAAACGTGCACAAAAACACTCGCTACAAAATATACGCACATAAGTAATTGTACAAAAGCACGCACAAAAGTACTCACGCAAAAGTGCATTCGCAAAAAGGACCGTGAAAACACAAACTACAATCCTAGGACATTAATACATATACACAAACATGCACAAACACACTCGCTCAAATGGATATGCACAAATGTACATGTAAAAAAACATGCGCAAAAGTGCATTCGCAACAACCTTCTTAAAAACACGAAATACAACACGAGGACTTTAATACGCATAACCAAACCCTAGCAAAAACACTAGATACAAAAGATACAGTGGAGTTTAGAAATAACACTCAACGTTTAAGTTTACGTGGATTATTTTATGGATTAATTTATATTTCTGTTATAATTGGTGGATTTAGTATTCTATAGGTACAAATTGATAATTAAATGTCAACAAAGCAAAAATGATCAAAGAGTAAGAAAAGAGTTGCAATTAGGAAAATAATATCAAATTAGAAGAGAGGATCCCTCAACATCTTCGGTAGTGTCCACGAACTCGAGCATAACTTTCTCATCCGGACTCCAAATCAACTGGTGCCGGCGGAATTAGAAAGCTATTTTAGCTAGCTACAATTCCTGTCTAATGTCAAATCTCCAAATTCGGACTCGAAACATAGTCAAAATTGGATTCCAAAAGCGATCATGAAAATACGTGCTACAGTACGAGGACACGAATGCGCATCAATAAACGTGCACAAAAACACTCGCTACAAAATATACGCACATAAGTAATAGTACTAAAGCACGCACAAAAGTACTCACGCAAAAGTGCATTCGCAAAAAGGATCATGAAAACACAAACTACAATCATAGGACATTAATACATATACACAAACATGCACAAACACACTCGCTCAAATGGATATGCACAAATGTACATGTAAAAAAACATGCGCAAAAGTGCATTCGCAACAACCTTCTTAAAAACACAAATACAACACTAGGACTTTAATACGCATAACCAAACAATAGCAAAACACTAGATACAAAAGATACAGTGGAGTTTAGAAATAACACTCGACGTTTAAGTTTACGTGGATTATTTTATATTTTTGTTATAATTGGTGGATTTAGTATTCTATAGGTACAAATTCATAATTAAGTTTCAACAAAGCAAAAATGTGACTGGTGCCAAAAGAGTTGCAATTAAGAAAATAAAATCAAATTAGAAGAGAGGATCCCTCAACATCTTCGGTAGTGTCCACAAAGTCGAGCATAACTTTCTCATCCGGACTCCACATCAACTGGTTCCGGCGGCATTAGAAAGCTATTTTAGCGAGCTACAATTCCTGTCTAATGTCAAATTTCCAAATTCTGACTCGAACATAGTCAAAATTGGTTTTAAAAAGCGATCATGAAAATACGTGCTACAGTACGAGGACACGAATGCGCATCAATAAACGTGCACAAAAACACTCGCTACAAAATATACGCACATAAGTAATAGTTCTAAAGCACGCACAAAAGTACTCACGCAAAAGTGCATTCGCAAAAAGGATCATGAAAACACAAACTACAATCATAGGACATTAATACATATACACAAACATGCACAAACACACTCGCTCAAATGGATATGCACAAATGTACATGTAAAAAAACATGCGCAAAAGTGCATTCGCAACAACCTTCTTAAAAACACGAAATACAACACTAGGACTTTAATACGCATAACCAAACAATAGCAAAACACTAGATACAAAAGATACAGTGGAGTTTAGAAATAACACTCGACGTTTAAGTTTACGTGGATTATTTTATATTTTTGTTATAATTGGTGGATAATTGGTGGATTTAGTATTCTATAGGTACAAATTCATAATTAAGTGTCAACAAAGCAAAAATGATCAAAGAGTAAGAAAAGAGTTTCAATTAGGAAAATAAAATAAAATTAGAAGAGAGGATCCCTCAACATCTTCGGTAGTGTCCACAAAGTCGAGCATAACTTTCTCATCCGGACTCCACATCAACTGGTTCCGGCGGCATTAGAAAGCTATTTTAGCGAGCTACAATTCCTGTCTAATGTCAAATTTCCAAATTCTGACTCGAACATAGTCAAAATTGGATTCAAAAAGCGATCATGAAAATACGTGCTACAGTACGAGGACACGAATGCGCATCAATAAACGTGCACAAAAACACTCGCTACAAAATATACGCACATAAGTAATAGTACAATAGCACGCACAAAAGTACTCACGCAAAAGTGCATTCGCAAAAAGGATCATGAAAACACAAACTACAATCCTAGGACATTAATACATATACACAAACATGCACAAACACACTCGCTCAAATGGATATGCACAAATGTACATGTAAAAAAACATGCGCAAAAGTGCATTCGCAACAACCTTCTTAAAAACACGAAATACAACACTAGGACTTTAATACGCATAACCAAACAATAGCAAAACACTAGATACAAAAGATACAGTGGAGTTTAGAAATAACACTCGACGTTTAAGTTTACGTGGATTATTTTATATTTTTGTTATAATTGGTGGATTTAGTATTCTATAGGTACAAATTCATAATTAAGTTTCAACAAAGCAAAAATGATCAAAGAGAAGAAAAGAGTTGCAATTAAGAAAATAAAATCAAATTAGAAGAGAGGATCCCTAAACATCTTCGGTAGTGTCCACGAAGTCGAGCATAACTTTCTCATCCGGACTCCAAATCAACTGGTTCCGGTGGCACTAGAAAGATATTATAGCGAGCTACAATTCCTGTCTAATGTCAAATTTCCAAATTCGGACTCGAACATAGTCAAAATTGGATTCCAAAAGCGATCATGAAAATACGTTCTACAGTACGACAACACGAATGCGCATCAATAAACGTGCACAAAAACACTCGCTAAAAAATATACGCACATAAGTAATAGTACAATAGCACGCATAAAAGTACTCACGCAAAAGTGCATTCGCAAAAAGGATCATGAAAACACAAACTACAATCATAGGACATTAATACATATACACAAACATGCACAAACACACTCGCTCAAATGGATATGCACAAATGTACATGTAAAAAAACATGCGCAAAAGTGCATTCGCAACAACCTTCTTAAAAACACGAAATACAACACTAGGACTTTAATACGCATAACCAAACAATAGCAAAACACTAGATACAAAAGATACAGTGGAGTTTAGAAATAA